GTTTTCATAGCAAATATTGGAGGATGAGTACAAATGAAAAACCACCAATCTTCAAAGTCAATAGTCAATATCTGATCCTATTTCAACACAGATGGCATTTCACAGAGACCTCCGGGTACTGCAAAAGGCAGAGAATTCTTAGAAAAGGCTGAGAATTCTTGGAAGACTGGAGGCCAGCAAAATGGGAATAACTTCTGACAGCGAAGCAGTTGAGGGAAGCATGCAATGTTGTGTTTCTATATATGTGGTTTATTCTGAACACTACCACATACAAACAATTACACAAAATATAATATGACTGACAAAGCATACTAACACATAAAGCCCAAAGACAGAGACAATTTGGCCAAAATTGCCACAGTAACCTAAGAGCAAGTAGCAACATTGTCTCTTAATAGAACAATGAGAATAAAGAATGAAACATATTCAATTTTCACTCCCCATATTGATAATGGCTCTTTTAGTCATGTTTCCATTTTTTTTGTCAATTATAATATGGTGATATTATATCCCACCTTAGACATGATCTTTTCTTTCTTCTTTTCTTTTTTTTCTCAGTCTTCCCTCAGTCAACTCATAACATGACTTTCCCGTCATCTCCAATCCCCTGTAACTCTGGAGAGGTCAAAATTAAACTTTTTTTCCAGCCCAATTTTTACTGATTTTAAGGACCACTTCCCAAAGATGGTGCTGATGACAGGCTTTGCAGGAAAAATGTCTTTCAAAAATTTGTTCTTACTAAAATCTGTAAAAACAAATTTTAATTGAGTAGAAAAAGTCCTAAGTCTGATTTTGAGAGTCCAAGAGCTTGTTGGCAAAGTTCTGTAAGCAAAATGATCCACATCTCTGATATATCTCAAGAAGTTCATATAATGAACTACCAAAAAAAGACAAAAGGGTCTCTCTTTTCCCTTTACTTAAATATTGTGGTTAAAGAAATTAACTCTAACCACTGTAGTCACAGGATAAAATCCTATCCAAAGTAGTTGCAATGGAGGAGATGGGAGAGTCCTGCCACTGCAATCATAAGGTCCCAGGTTCAAACCCGCCAGCCCCTCTCAGCCAACTGAGCTGTGACTGAGTGCCGACATCAGCCTACTGGGGTCAAAGACAGGGTGGAAAAGAACTGGCCACCCTAAAATATCACCTTGTGGCTTAGAATGTGTATTCCTCTTTGGAGAAATGCACAGATGCTAGTGTACATATGCTAAGAGAGATTTATGCATGTTTTGTATGCAATACCCAGCAGAAATTAATGCCCTGCTGGTCTGATGGTGTCTTTCAGTCTCATATGTGTTAAGATTAAATGTTTAAGTCCCTAGGGCTCAAGGAGGAAGAAATGACTAGGGGCTCTTTTGTCTCAGCCACCCCTTTGATAATTCAGTAGTAATTAGTAATCTGATCTTTGCTCTGGTCAAAATATTCTGCCAACTTTCATGTGACTGAGACTCCTTCACTCTTGAACCAATAGTAAACAGTATCACATGTACTGTCACATAGGAAGCACGACTGTGAGCAAGGACCTATGCCACAAAAAATTGCCAACACAGTTTTATCTAAAGCAAAACTTAAGAGTATTTCGATGAACCACAAAATATTACTAAATAAAAAAATATATCACATGTAATCAATGGACCTACTAAGCAGGTTACACCTACCAAAATATTCATGGCTTCAAAACATACTAAAATTAAGTCTGCACTGTTTCCCTTTCTTTATTATGCTTTCTTGATGATTCTTGACCTTTACAATATGCAATATTCTCAACAATTCTAAAACTTTTTCAATCCCTTTCTCAATCAAATACAGAAAATGTAAGAAATCTCTATTTATGACAAAAATTTATATCATCAAATTATTATATAACTATCATTCAATGAAGAAGAAACCGTAACACATTCCAGGAAAATGAAAATGTACTTTGCAGTACTCTGAAAAACATTTTTTTTCAGATCTGTAGATGGAACATGTAATTAAGAATCTTCAAAGAAGGAAAAAAAAAAAAAAAGTTAGATTACAGACAACAGTTTCATGATTAGAAAAAATATCTAAAAGAAATTAAAATATACTTTTATAAGAGACACCTGTTAATATGACTTTTTAACCATATTTTCTTTTACTTTTAAACAACACAACTACAAAATGCTTAATCACAGAACACACTTTAGATCAAATAAAAGATACCATATGAAGAAAGTGGAAATATCCACCTAAGTAGCATTTAGAAGGCCTCTTCTGTTACTGTTCAGGGGATCACACATATTCAATATGCTTCTCCTTCCTCACCACTGTCCTGTAAGAAAGAATAAAGAGAATGAATATAATATTACTATTCTAGACCTTTTTTAGGTCAAACTGTTCTATTTATCTGATCTCCTGAAATACATGTTTTGTAACATAAAACAAAAGCTGAAAAAAAATCTTTAAAACTTTAAAACATTCCACAACATTTTGATGTAATTTGCATACCAAGGATGAAAAGTCAAGTATAAAAAGATAAAATACTTGTCATAATATAACATTTCATTAGAAATTTAATAAATATAAGGTAACCCCATTGACAAATTTATTCAGTAAGTAGCCTAGGTCAGTATTACCCAAGCAGTTTTTCTTTATTTTCTCACAAACTTGGTTATATCATAGATCTGATTATGTGCACTGGAAAGCTAATATAATTAAAATTTCAATTCTACTTCAGCAGAAAATCTTGAGCGACAACCATGTGCTTTTATGAACAATTACCTGAAAATATTTTTTATACTGTGAGAACATTCCTGTTTATAATACAGAAAAATTGTGCCTGATCCTAAAATTATGAGGCTATGAACCTTGAAATGAAAATGTATAAACCTACTATGTGAGATTTAATATCTTACAATCATATAATATTGACCAGGTTTTTCCTTTCAATGCAAGTCATATTTTATGGAGTCTTATCATTCAAGTTTGGACTAATTCCTACTGATACTACTATATATATCTAAATTATGTACAAGCTATCTATCAAAACTTTTGTCCTATATTATAATTTTATACATTTGTGGTAAATGACAGTCATTAAAGCTGGTAAATTATTATATTAAATGTCATTTTCTTCTAAAATTATTTCATATTTATTATGCAAAATACACTAAGCTGCACTAAACAATGAATCCCAAATGACTTGCATCATTTTTTACAACCTCCACTCAGCAAGACATACCAATGATTGGGTGTAACTCTGAGCTCTGAGGATGAACCATCTGCTGTGACTGTGAAGACTCAGTCTGGTGCTGTGTACCCTGCGACTGGTTGGGCTGCTGGTGCACCAAGCTTGCTGCTGCCTGGGAAGTCTGGTGCTGATGAACTATGCTGAGGTGCTGTGACGTCTGGGGCTGATGCACCACACTGATCTGCTGGGAGGTCTGGGTTGTGGGTTGCTGGTGGACCAGGGTGAGTGGTTGAGCTTGGGGTAGGCCTGCCTGTTGCTGGATAAGGGTGACATGCTGAGCCTGCTGCTCCTGTGAGGTCCGTCGTGCCTGCTGTTGGTGAGGGACCACATGGGAAGTATGCACAGGTGCTTGCTGGGAGGTCTGTGGGTGAATTACAGAGAGCTGTTGTGTCTGCTGGGTGGCTGCCTGTTGTCCTGTGGGCTGGTGGACAACAGCTATCTGTTGAGCTGCTCCTTGGTGTACTGGCTGCTGATGCACAACAGTGATTTGTTCCTGGGAAGTGCCCTGCTGACCTGACTGAGGATGAATCACTGACAGCTGCTGGGACTGCTGTGTCACACCCTGTTGAGGATTTTGCTGTGGGATGAGAGACAGCTGTTGTGCTGGTTGTTGGGAGGACCCATGCTGTGGCTGAACCACAGTGTAGGTCCAAACATAGACAGGGCCAGAGGTGCCTTGTGATGCCTGAGTCTGTGATCGATGTGATCCTGTCTGGTACTCTGCGTTGGTGGAAACGGAGGAAGGGACAAGAACCTGTGTGGCTGGTAAAGCAGTGCCAGAGAGTGGCTGGCTGCCTCCTCCTATACTGGGGCAAGTCCACAGGATCTGTTCATCACTGCGGATTACAGCATTGCTCTGATCCATTGGGTTGGCCACAGTGGTTAACTGTGCGAGGGGATCCTGCTCCTCTGGTTCTTGATGCTGCTGAGGTTGCTGTGGAAGGGGATGTGGATTGCATAGGTCCACTATCTTGGAGTCTTTCACAAATACCTGAAATGAAATTAAATGAGACAATAAAAAAATATTTAAGATAAATGAAATAATACTATTAACCCCTTGCTGACAGGCATGACATGTACATATATGCCATGCCCACTGTGAGTCGACTTGTTTGATTGTTTTTACACATAGATGGCTACACTTGTACTAAGTCACCAGTGAACCAATTATGAGTACTGCATGTCTCGCCCGTTCACCCGTTTCATCGACTTACGAAAATATTTAACGTTATCTTATTTTGCTGTTAAAAATAACACCATCTATATTTATAGCACTAGTAAGAATATGTTTTTTCCTGCCAATTCAAGGACAGGTGAAATCAGGATATTTCACAAAAATATAAAAAATGAGTACAGCATTTTCCCCATTTTTTATCAATTCTCCCCGGCGGCAATGGGTTAATGGTAACACTACAAATACTAATACAGTAAGTTTCCAACTTAAGAACATAATGGGGACCGAGAGGCTGTTTGTAAGTTGATTTGTTTGTATGTCAAAAGTCGGGTCTCCATTACCTTTTTTTCCCATTGTTTTAAAGTTTTGTTTACATTAAGAATACCTGTAAATAAATCCCAATAAGTACGACATACCTTATACAGTACCAGACTCTTGAACTATATTCGTGCCCGGGAAATTTGAAGTTTGTTAGCATCTTTCAAACAATTTTTTGGACATTAATACTTTAAAAATTTTGTTTGTATGTATGGAATGTTCATAAGTTGAATGTTCTTAAGTAGGGCACTATCTGTACTTACATAGCAAAAGTAACAATAGCAAAAATAATAAAATACTACATAAAATATCATTTTTATCCTCATCAAAGTAATGACACAAAAGCAACCACAACTAAATAACAAGCCTTCATAGAATGATGACAGTAAAAGCAAATACAAGAATAAATCAATACAATATAATGCCATGCTCACAGAAAGACCCGTACCTGAGAGTAAGTGTTTTGGGAAAGTGCCACTGGGTAGGAATGGGCTGGGACCGAACGCTGCTTTTTTCTTTTTCTATGATGGATGACTGAGTCTCCCGATACATTCTCAGATTTAACTGTACACCTGTTGAGAAAGGTTAATGGTAAATTTACCCATGAGAGAGCTAGAAAATAGAAGCTAATACCTGAGATGAAAAATTTTGATAACCTGCCTTTCACTACATCACATGCAACAATATAAAGCACACACTGATGTTTGTTTGACTCTATGTACATATATCATTTTCCATTTTGCCTGCTTCCTTTAATAAAATATCAATGAATAATAATTTCACTAGTAACATCCATTTTCCAAAATTCAAAAGTCCCTTTTCTGGATAAAATCACATATGAATGAAAATTAAATATGTTCCTTCACAAATAATTCTATGTTCATAAAATCTGAATAATTGTACCACTAATGATTAATCATACACTATGAAATCATTATTCTCAATTGCATTCAACAATCATTACAATACTTTTATTCCAACCCATGGCAGTAAAAACCTTGAATTCCAGAAACAGGTATGAATGAGTAATGCTGCAACATCTGTCTTGGATTATACTTACTTCCTAACATTGTGTCCCTGTTCTCCACAACGGCTGCATTTAGTACGACAATTGGTCACGCGGCCAACATGGATTAAGCGTGGGCTCGTGGCCAGCCAGCTTCGTTTCAGCTCCAAACAGATGTTGCCGTAGCGGTTAATTACAGCTGGAACTTTTTTGAACGATGACAAGGTAAGGCCACTAATGTTCCTGGAAATATCAAGAAGCAAGTTGTTTCATTCAGAGGAAAGTTACTTTCAATTATCATTAATATGAAATGAAGTGAAATAGTTTGCAGATTAACATTTCTTTCCTAAAAAATAAAATAATACACTAGACCTACCTATAATCCTTACGAATCTCAAGTGTAGCATTGGCAAAATAAACCATAAAGCGCAGAGGAGTGCCTCCAGGCAGTGTGATGTAGAAGACCTTTTCACTCATGGTTGCTCTCTCTTTTTCAATGCTATGTATTGTGGGGCGAAGTGTGTTCCCCTCGGCAACTAGAGCCTTCATTAGTGGGCGGAACTGGACATTGTTGGAACTGGATTTGTATATATAGTGGATCTTGTTGTCAACAATTGCCTGCATTGTCTGAATGCCAAAGAAATAAGTCATCATCTTGCTCTGACTACATCTGCCTGTTGATGCAGAATCATTCTTGTCCCCAAAATTGGTGAGGTCTCTCTTCTCTTCACAGTAATCAAGCAAGTCTACCTGAATGCAGGAATCATCATCGAGTTCATGAATTTCATTTTCGAGGGAGTGTGCTAGCTCCTCAAGTGTTTTGGCAACAGCATCAAAGTAGTGCCAGCGAGCCCCTACAACCCCTGCGTAGTTACCGTCCAGCTTGCTGCTGCTCTCTGCTGAGCCACTGATGGCAAAGTATGATGGGTGGGAGCGCTTTTCGTGCTGGTAGATGATGGGCCCTGTCTCCCCCTCAGTCACAAAGAACTCCAGGTACTCTGGGAAGTAAGTCTTCTCCAACTTGTCAATGATGAAAGGAGGTTTCAGTACTGCTTTTTCCAGCTTTTCTTTATAGTAACTATATTCCTTCCTATACTGGTCTTTGGTCTGTTTGAGCAAGATGCGCTTGGCAAGACACTCCTCATCAGTAAGGGACATTCCTACATTATTCTTCCGGCACCAGATGTCTTCAACTTGTGTCTCTCTCACTCGGTCTCCTGCATCTCTTAGGGCTTCCATCAAGAGGAAGAACATGGCATCAATCTTATTTTCCTTCTGCACTTGGCAAAACTTATCTATGTGTGCTATCAAAGGCTTTAGTCGGTCCTGTCTGATATATTTGGCATTAACAGCAGTTAGAGATAACTTATGGTAAGGGGTTCTTCCCCCAAACTTCTTTGGTATAACGAGAAATTGACTGAGAGCCTCATCCTGAGTATAATCATGTTCTTCTAAGCCAGTCGTGTTCTCTGATGTCCCATCTTCTTCTGTCTGACATCCAACTGATACAAACTGTGGTGTTTCTGCTTCATGGTCTGTCCATCCACGCTTTCGAGCTGGATTTCTTCTTGGTTCTATGGATGGCAGAATAATTTTATTGGCTTGACTTCCCTCTCCCTGGGAACCTAACTTTGTCTCCACTGTCCCAACATGCTGAGCCTCTTCAGTTGCTGGATTGCAAGGACTGTCTGGTGGATCATCTTTCAACATGCACACACTACAGTTCTGGGCACTGTGAGCAACAAAGTCTGCAGGTTTGTCCCTATAAAACTCACACTTCTTTTTCTTTGACACTTTGAGATATAGTCGTTTGATTTTCCTCTCACAATACTGACACACATTAACTGGGTAGATGTCTGGATCCTCATCAGAGAGGTCAACATTCCATACTTTTTTAACATGTTTCACAATTTCATGCTTGGGAACCCCCTTCTTGGGCCCATCAAACACAACTGTCATTTCTGCACAGATTCGACAGATCTTGCCTAACTTGTACATATGCATGTCTTCACTGACTTCATCATCTCCCACTAATTCCTGTGCCTGGTCATCTGCTTCATCTGGCCCTTCTTCTTGGAGAGGTAACTCATGCTCCCTATTTGCTTCATCATCCCTTCTCTCTGTTTCCTCATTTTCATTAATTTTCACTGCTTGTTTTTCAGCACCACTTTCTTCTGCAAAGATAGCGTCTCCTTCTTTATGATGTTCCGGAGACCTTGGTTCTTCTTTGACTACCTCTCCATCAGAAGAAATGCCATGCATACTTTTGGATTCAATTTGTTCACTATCTTCTCTCACACTTCCATCATCACATGGCTTCATTTGTCCTCCTTCTGCAGTGACTGTATCAGAGTCTCTCCCCTTATCTGCATTTATGACTGCACTACAGGGACGTTCCTTATCTGCATCTGTGTATTGTTCTGCTTTATTCAGGTGCCCTGTTTCTCCTCCATCACCTGCACCAGTAATACCATCACAAGTGTCCAGGGCTGCCTGGGATTTTGTAACCTGAGATTCTTGACACTCCATCACTACAACGTAAATATCACAAATGGCGACAACTGCTGCTCCACTCCTAAAACTGACCTGAAATGCAAAAAAAGAAAAATATCTGTAAGTAGTAGTCAAAAGTAGTTATCATTTCAAGAATTATATTAAGGAAAATAATCAGGTCTTCAGAAAGTGTTGTATTCTTTGTATGAAGGAATGGTATTATGGCTATAATGAAATTCGGACAGAACAGTAACCTGTAAGTTTGTTCAAGAAAATTGTGTCTCTATAAATGAAAAATAACCCAGGCCATTCCTTGTAAACAAGGGGTAATTTAGAAGTAAAATAAGAAGACAACTTGTCACACCAAGAATAACCATTTGAACAAATAGAATTAAACGAAATTATGATTATAATTACTATGCATCACCCCTTCCTGTTTTTGTTTCAGTAGTGTGGAGTTAATGTGAGCCCATTTTATGCTTTCAGAAAGGTCCTACAATAAACAAATAGATTTCTAGGCAGTACTTCAATCTGTTAACAACAGTGTCAGTGTCATTCAGCAGTAAAGCACAAAGTTGACTGAAAGATTTTGCCAACAAAAATCAACCTTAAAAGATGCAACTTTTAAAAATAAATGAATAAAAAAAATCCCAAATATAAGTAAACATTAACAATTACAAAGAAACAAAATTAATTTTAAAGTGGGGGAGGGGTTATATTCATAACATTCATACTTTTATAGCTAATATAAAGAGCATCAAATGATTTTATAACCTTCATTTTTTACAAAAACAAATATCTCTGGGGTTATATTTCTCCATCTCTTTACAGTTGTCAAAGGGTTAACATATCACTCTAGATTCTCTCTCTCATAAAAGGAATACAAGTCAACAGCCTAAAAAAATAGCTGGAATTTGGTGAGACAGTTAAGCATCTTGACTGATATTAACCTGATGCCATTGGGGGTAGCATGTACAGACACTAAATGCCTGCAATGAGTTTAGTTTTTTATTGTAATTACATATAGATGACTCCACAAGTGCTTTGTCACCAATGACTGACTTTCTGTTTTGATTTTATAATGCTATTAGTATTATTAATAACAGTGTAATAACTATAACAGCATCAACATTAATAGCATATGTGTAGATACATTTCACAAAACAGTAATACAGCAAACATCACATGTTCCCAATGATACTGAGTTAAAACCAGACAGAAATATGTACAGATGTAGATGAAGGGATGGAGTGGTACTCATCACAGTGCGAGAAATGGAACAAATTATCTCAACTACTGATGATGATTGATGATGATTGATGATGATGATGATGATGATGATGATGATGATGATGATGATGATGATGATGATGATGATGATGATGATGATGATGATGATGATGATGATGATGATATTCTTTACAAAGTTTTCTTGCTTGTGTATCGTTCATAAGATAAATAGAAAGAGGTGCTATGTACGGAGCTTAGCTTATAAAAAAACAAAAATCATATATTTATCTTTTTTTTTGTTGCTATTCTTCTTCTCATCATTATTGTTATCATTATCATCATTATTATCACTATTACAGAACTTACTAAGAGGAGGAGGTGGGTTTGGTTCAAGAATTACTGGATCAACAGCCGATTTTTGGACAAAAATTCCCTCAACTCTTCTGCTATGATAAGCTGACATAATCATCAAAAACTTTAATTTCTGTTAATTGAAAGTTGACTTATCTAAAGACCTCTACAAAAAAAATAAAAATAGTGTGAAGTTAATACAATCCTAGTAATATTG